ACTCGTGTGCTAGCCTAGATTGATGAGCTACAGGTTGTCACACCCTAATCGGAGTATTAACTTAAAACTCTAATTAAGGCATGATTCACAATTTAATATAGAATAAAATCTTTAAGAACAAATTGATCCATAGTTAAATAGTGAAGAAAGAAAAAAAAATTATTTAGAAGATATAAATCTGTTCAAACATAATTCACATTTATTCACCAAGAGATAATTCTCAAGTTTTACAAAGTACACTTTACATAAATTTACATAAAGCTTTTTGTTCCTTATTCAAACAAAAGAGCAAACACCACCAAGCTCTTTATTTTATTTCTATTTACACATATCATACAACAAGTAACATCTCTAGCACATGACTTAATTCTCTAGTTCCGAACCTGCACAAATTTAATTAAGTTGAGCATAAAGCTCAATAGGGACATTATACCTCTATATATATATATATATATATATATATAACCATGAGTATATTATTTTTATGTAGTTAAAAACACATAAGAAAAATTATATGTATGAATGCACAAAGTTTCTCTCTTCAAACCCTATTAACTTGAACCCAAACACCATATTTTCCTTTTGTTAGTGCTCTTGCCTAATTCCCTTTCGCCAATCCCGTATTACCCTTAAATTAGTGTGCACTTTGGAGTTCACCTAAAACCTGGTACCTGCCAACAATTAAGCTCAACTACACAAAAGCCTTCCTCAATGCCCATTTCCCTATCTCCTTCACAAGAATCTCAACTCAAGGTAATCAGTTCATTGTTTAACAAGTGAATGAAAAGCATGTATCTCAATCCATCCAAGTAATCGTATAGGCAATGAGTTTATGAATCCAACCACATAGATAAATATCAATCAATATGTATTAATCAGATAATAAAAGAATAAATATTTATGAGGTTTCCCAAGCACCCCCTACCTGGTTCCAAAGCTACAACGTAAGTCCACGTAACTACCAAATTGATCAAGTCTCTTGATCCAACTCGTGAGTTCCTATTCAAAGTATAAACTATCACTGTTTAAGTATACATTATAACTTGTATTATAAATAGACTTTGTAGAATACATACTTTAATAAGTATTTATAATAATATCCCAAACAAAACATATTGACGAGCAACTTCCCAGTAGGTCCCCCATCCTCGGATTACTCCAGCCCAAACTCACTTAACTTCGGAATTCCGATGAAATCTGAAGCCAGTGAGTTCCCAAAAGGCCTCATGCTATAAGGAGGGGAGCATTTACATATAAGGGACATCGCCCCTCTCCATTGGTCGATGTGGGATCTTTCAGAGAACGAATCCAAAAAGGAAACCTAACACAGAAAGAAAGTAAGAAAACTCTCACAATTAAAATAAAAAAGTTGAATAGCTCATTACCATAATAAATCAATAACCAAATAACCAAAATTTTGCATTCTTTAATTTGTTCGAAATTAATTTTGTCTCCGTCTTTTTTCAAATCTAATAAAATCCCCAAAACACAAAAAAAAAGCAACTAACTATTATTTATACCCTATAAACAAGGATATGCATCTTAACCCATTTAACATATTCATAAAATAACATCAAACACATTTATGCATCAGATCATATAGAAGTGAAGTCTGACAACATTCATAAAAAAATATTACCTCTGTCAGTGACAATCCAATGATCCCAACCAATCAAACCAAAGGGTAAAAACAAAGAAGAAAAGGAAGTGTTAGATTGAACTGACAAGGAAAACCCAATTGAATAAATTAAATAGAAAACTTCATTTTAATCCTTGGCAAATATGACTTTTCGATTAAAATCAGGAGTAAGATCAAAATCTAATTTTAGTCCCTTAATACATAAATAACCTCATTTATTAATTATATTTTGATTTTTTTAATTATTTCTCTTTTTCTTCCTAATTTTTAATGTATTAATTTTATTTCATTATAATTTTCATTTTTATTTCATTTATCGTAATATATTTTGTTGTAAACATTTAGATAAACTAATTTTTGTTATACAATATATTTCGATGTATTTTGTCTTCTTCATTTAGGTACATTAAATTCATTATAATACATTTTGGTGCATACATTTGGGTACACACATTTCGGTACATACATTTCGATACAAAGATTTTGGTACATTAATTCAATATAATACTTTTCGGTATTAACATTTCGGTACATACTTTTCAGTACACACATTTAGGTATATTAATTTAATATAATACATTTCGGTACTAACATTCAAATACATTAGTTCAATATAATATATTTTGGTACTAACGTTTAGGTACATTATTTGAGTCTTTTAAGTTTGAAGAATGTTAAATAAAATTAAAAAATTAAAAAATTCTTGTTTGGTCAAAAAATAAATTAAAATTTGTATATTAATAAATTTCAATATTTAATGGGAGACATTAAATAAAATACACATTAATTATTTTGAATTAAGGACACATCAAGGGATTATAATCAATATCTAATCTAACACCAGATTTATTTTAAATCTCAATCTTCTTGAAGGATTAAAGTTAAAAATGGGAAGAGAAAAAAAAAACCCAGAAGATGCTACAACCAAACTGTAAATTTGCATTTGAAAAATGCTAAAATGTAAAGAGAATTGAAAGTAAAAGAAAAAGGAGGAATAAAAGGCAAAAGTTAAAGAATAATACCTCCCTGTACCTAGGCAAGTAAATCCTGAGGGGGGCTCGATATAGTGCTCAAACCCTAACGTGGCCATCGCCCACAACAAATCGTCGCCGTTGATGGTGTTTCCCTTCTCCTTCTGGCACTTGTCGCTGGCCCTAGACACCCCAATTCAAAATCAAAAACAAAAAAAGAAAAATTAATGAAAAAGTTTGAAAAGTTTGAGTTTTAACGATAAGGACAAAATAAAGGGTAAAATAAATACTACCATAATTGACTTTTTAGTGTAAAAATGTGATTTTTCTTTAAAGTGAACAGTACCGCGAACTTTTCGTTAAAACTTCTAGCAAAAAATTCTGATTGAAAAGCAAAGTAAATAACAGTAGAGAGAGAAAGAGGTATAAAGAGATTAGAGGTGAAAATTACTCGCTGGTGACGAAGCTAATGAATTCAGAGATGCATTCCTGGACGGTGTCCTTGGCAGTAAGAAAATCACAAAACTTACCAAAAAGGATACGGACCCAACGACTTAAAAATCGATTCTAGTTCTAATAAAATTGAAAAATTGAAAACCCAGTAATTCTGGTAGTCACTGTACCTGGCGTCAGCAAACCAAATTATTTTTCATAGCAACCAATGACAACGATGGCACACAGACGGAATTTTTATAGTTCGACCGATCGGTGCGAGTAGAGAGATGAGATTAGAAAGAGAAAAAAATTATGGTTTGAGAGATAAAGAAACCTAATCCCAAAAGAGTAATGTTATTCATACCATATTTTTATATCACATTTCTATACCACCTTAGGTGATATCTGATGTGGACAACCACATCATTTGAATTAATCAGATTTGGTACAAAAACATGATATGAATATTATTACTATACCATGTTTTGCAAATTTTTCAAACGATGTGGTTGTTCACATCAAATGCCATGGAAATATGATACAAACTCCATTCCAAAATGGGTCAAGAGGTATGAATGAAACTAAGAAAATGAAACAATGAGGAAGACTGTAGAAGAGGCAGGGCATTATTAAAAAATAAAATAAATTTACAAAATTACCCTTAGATTATTTTATGCACTCAATTTTGCGGCTTTTGATTTATTTATTTTTTTGCTGAGGGGCATTTTAGGTCTATTATTTTTGTCGAAGCTGTGACCCTAAAATTGGGACGTTAGCTTTCCATGTAAAAGATTTATGTGTAAGAATAGAAAAAAGATGTTTGGTTATGATTTTCCTTTCAGAAGTGAAAACAGTCCTCCCACCAAGTTTAATTATTTCCCACTATTCGTCGCTCACACACTTTCACTTGAATTATTTTGTTTGTGTGGTGTCGAAATTTATTAAAAGAATCCAAGAAAACACAACCGGCCCTCCCCTCCTGAACAAAGCACGAAATATAAGGCGATGGAAGAGACAGAGGAAATGATACGGACGACTAGCTAGTGAAAAGTCATCGCCACAGCTCACAGGGGCTAATAATCTAGAGGAAATAGACAAAAGAGTGGGGCAACGGTTGGACAGGGGAGCCATCCCTGGATCTATTGATTGGAGCATGGATTCACATGTTACACATTTTAAGAGGGATTTGAAGGACGCATGTTTACATAAATTGATGTCGGACTCTCGTCTGAGAGGTAAAGAGGAATATCACTAAACCTAATTCGCGTTAAAATTCTTATTAAAGGCCGAATCCTTAGAATGTACTTGAAAGTGCTTTTTGAAGAAGCTTCTCCAAAAAGCATTTATATGAATCAAAAGCTTTTCTAACTTTTTCTATCATACGTAGGCCTGGTTTGATACTGAGGTGATTCTGAAAAAAACTGGTATAAAAAAAAGCTGAGAGCTGTTTTTGTGTTTGGTAAACATTTAGCTTCAGTTTTTTTTTTACAATTTTTGGTGAAAAAAAAGCCAAAAACAAGAAGTTGCAAAACCCAACTTTAAAAAACCGGTTTTTTTTTCACATCTGTTTTACATAAAAGTTTACCAAACACTATAATACTACTATTTTTTTTTTTTTTTCAAAAACACTTTTACAAAAAAGTTCACCAAACACTCTGCTGCTTTGTTTCACAACTGCTTATTCTTACAGCACAGCAGAAGCAACTTTTTTTTCAAAACACAACAATACTAAACCAGCCCGTAGTCAGAAGCGTTTTGGCTTTTAGAAGAGTACCAGCTTAAGGAACAGCATTATAACAACTCGAAGCCTCGGATTTGTCATTTGGCTAGCTAGAAGAACAGGATCAAAAGGCCCCAAAGAAGACCAACCGAGGCACAGGAAAGGGCACTTGAGAATTGCCCAACCTACGTACACCTGACCCAACCATATACATAATGTCGAAGGAACCCAATGAATCGAGTCACTTGAATATTTTCAAAACCAAGTAGAAGACAGTACTTGGAAGAGGAACTTTGAGGCTCAAATCCACACACACACACACCTTTCATTTCATGAGCTACAAGAAAAAAAGTAACGTCATCTTCAGCTGCTACGTCCATACCAAAATATTTGCAAGACCACCGTTCCCAGCACATCAAGCTCAACATGTTTGGGAATGTGAGGTGGTGATCAATCGTAACTCGCTTCCTGTAAAACTGGATCATTTGCCAATTCCCTGAATCAAAGACATAACTAAACTCATCAATCTGTAAATAAAATTTATCTACGCGAGAACTTCGATTAAGTACAACAAAGGAACGTGTGCCTATACCTCCAAAAAACCATAAATGTTCTCTTGCATTAAAGAATCCTAGGAGATACCAAATATAAATTTGAGAAACAACAATAAAAATGTTTAACTACTGACTAATGCTATAGCTAGTATATGTTCTTGTTCATCTTAATGTATATTAGGTAAATACTAGCAAAAATGCCCGCGCGTTGCTGCGGGACTTGAATGTACCGGCCTTAACCACATGAATAAGACATTTAACCTAAAAAAAAAAAAATTCAACATAATCATGAATGAACAAAAGGGATAGATGAGTGAAGGGTGTTGGTAAGATAAGCAGTTCGGCTTTTATATACATTCAACTGAGCTGATTACAAAAGATACAGTTGCAAAAAATGCTCTGTTTCCTGAGAAACATAAGCAACATGCATTTAACACTTATATTGCTCTTCAAGTTAAGATAGCAAAATATACGTCCAGCAGGCCAGGCACGTGTTTTAACAGCTAAACAAAAAAGCAAAAAATGTGTGTTGTTCTTGTTTCAACAGCTAATCTTTCAAGCACTAATGTATGCATTAATGTATAATATCTGAGATCCTATTTGTTTTTTATTGACTGATGCTTCAACATCATCCACCTAATTCATCTCACACATCCATAGATACCTGAGAATACTTATTCTCACCACCATTGCGTTGTTACTTTAGTATGTTTTTTCACTGAGAGCATCACGAAAAAAACTAACAATTTCAACTCTAAAACGTCACCTTGTTCCTATAACCCACCTCAATCAACAACAAAAGAAGAAAAATAATTGATCCCTTCAAAGATGCTTTCATAAACTAAAAGATGTCCTACCCATCCAAACGAAAGGGGGATGTTATTTTCAGTCCCAACTGATATCGGGACAATGGAAAAATAATTGATCCCTTCAAAGATGCTTTCATAAACTAAAAGATGTCCTAATATCGGGACAATGGAAAAATAATTGATCCCTTCAAAGACGCTTTCATAAACTAAAAGATGTCCTACCCATCCTGACGAAAGGGGGATGTTATTTTCAGTCCCATGTGATATCGGGACAATGGAAAAATAATTGATCCCTTCAAGGATGCTTTCATAAACTAAAAGATGTCCTACCCATCCAAACGAAAGGGGGATGTTACTTTCGGTCCCATGTGATAAGCATGTTTACAATCATACAGGTCAGATTTCTTTTTTAAAATAATCATTTCAACATGCCTTTCCTCAAGGAGAGACAATTACAAAGAGAGAATAATACCTGTTTTTTATTAAGACGGTAGCAAAATTCGTTATAGAGTCGTCCTCCAAGCTTCTCATCTTTTATATCAACAAACACCAAAACTGGGCAGCTTGGTATATCAACAGAAGGTTTACCATCCAAATCATGTTTAAGCAATTCATCAGCTATATACATCTCCTTCAAGAGATGTTTGGACCTACAATCTGATCCGCAGTATTCTTATTGCATGTAAAACTAATTTTGGGGAACCAAATCTTAGCAAACCAAACAAAACAAAACCCCAAATCAATTAAAAAAAAAAAAAAAAAATTAGGCCAAAAGAACCCCACACCTAACAAAACCCCAGATTCGCTTAAAAAGAGATTTATCTTATTTTAGCAAAATGAATTCCAACTGGCCACAAACCAAAGCCTTGACCAAAATGAATTGCACTTAACTGTCAACCAAATTTGCAAACATTTAAAAGTTCTTCGATTTTCACACACCAAAACAACATATCAAATTAAAAAAAACCAATGCAATGTTAGTGAAATAAACTCGCACGGTATTTTAAGCGGTAAAACAATCACCTTGCAAATGAATAGGCATATCTGATTCTTCCAAATCCTTTCACCTCCATCCTAGAATATGTCCCCTGTGTCACCACAAAAACATGTAAAAAATCCGAGAAAATCAAATGCTATAAACACCAAATTCAAACAATGATTGTATGCATATCCGAGCCATAAGGGAACCAAATTTAAAGAATTATTTGGAGATGAAAAGCCTAATGTAAACCCTAATAAAGTTCATAAATTTTATAATAATCCTCCGATGTGGGACAACATGAAGACCCTATTGTCGAGTTGTGTTTGTATTCCGTTCCAAGGACTGCATAACTAACAAATCAGGGCTCAAAAATTGAGATTTTTCTTTCAGAGGAAGAGAGTGTTACAGTGACAATGGCAGTGAGAGCTAAGAAATAGGAATCCATGACTCTTCCCATGGAAATTGTTCTGGATTGTTGCTCTTGAATAAAAAACTCTCTGCTTTGTTTGCAGCTGCTGAGTTATCAAAAGTGGAAAGGAAGCCCTTCGAAAATTCAATACAACAGGAAAATTTTATTTGCTGCAGTTTAACACCATCAGATTCCAAGTAAATCATACTATTTTAACAATTCTAAAGTTTAACGTCATGTGGATTTGGCAAACTAATTCTGCGCAAAAATAATATTTTGAGGATTCATAAGAATGCGGGATTGAAAGAAGAGTGCAGTGTCTTGAAATAAAAGTAACTGCAAAGGAAATTAACAGTTTGCATCATTGAATCGAACTAAAAACATAGTAATGCCATTAAATCTCTCCTCTTAGAATTACATATCATTGTTTATATGGTTTGCTGTAAATAGTAGAATTCAACGAAATACTTTCAATAAGAAAAACTGAAGGCAGTGGCCAGTTTGCCATTGCAAACACTTCCAGTAGGCTGATGGTTCACAAAGTCCCTTCCATAAGGAGGGTAATCAACCTTTCGGTGTCTGCCAACCACCGCCTTACATCCAAAGCCCCCATCTGCAGCAACCTAAACCAACCAAAATCCAAAATCCTAAAATTCCCAAACACAATAAATCCATTAGCAATTCTGAGACTTTCAAATATAAGGAGATGGACCAACACAGAGAGAAAAGACTTAAATTTACAGCAAGATGAAAGCTTTTTCAAATTTGAGGGTCAAATCTAATGAAATTTAGCAAAATGACCAAACAGATGTGGAATCTTTTGCATCCCTGGGAATTCTGGATTAGGGTCATACGGAGATGAAGATATAAGCAATGTCTATAGGGATTTTAATTTGGTAATTGTTCTTTTATTCTTGAAGAGATGCTAGAGTAAAAGTTTCAAAGACTAATTCTAAAGTTTTCTCAAATAAATAAATGTAGGCTGAATGGTTCATTGCTATTGAGAAAAGAAAACACCTTGACAAAGTGGAAGCAATCTTATCGTGTGTGTTAAGCTTTTTTGATTATTGGAAACCCATGATATACAATCATGAGCTCTACGTAAAGAAACATTGGAATTGTCGTGAGAAAAAATCAATTACCAACCACATGACCACAATTTAAGCCTCGCCTTGCTTGCTAATTGTGGGGTTTTAAAGCTAGAAGCCCATTCAACATTGACAGACACCAGACTCCCCAATGATGCAAATTTCTATTGCATATCTGACCGAAACAACCTTCACACAGAATGTCCACTTAGAAGCCTACTCCTACAACCAATTTTAAAACATGCATAGAAATTTTGCATGTTTGATTTCTGAACAATCAGTATCTAAGCTAGTAGAACTTTGGAAATGCTTCACAAAAGAATACGTATAGGGTGGACTAATATATATATGTGTGCGCGGCGCGCATGTGTGCATGCGTGTGTTTGTCCAACTGTCCATAAATTCCTTGCCAAATCAACCTTGACCCATTTGAATCTATAAATTTGAATTTGTTTAAATTCCCATGGCTACACTTCTTCACAAACACTTATCAGCTGCTAATAATTAAACTGACCAGCTATGATTACTGTGCTGAGTTATAGGATACAAAATGTGTGATATAATTCTGTTTGTTTAGTAAAACTATTACACAGCTAATTTTCCTCTCGCCTCTCTTTTCCTTTCAATAATGATTGATACAAAGCAGCCATTCTTCATTGGGAATCAAGGATTGCAACATTAATATTATCAATGATCGACAATGTAAATTGACCCAAATAAAAGGATAGTCCACATTAAAATATGTTAAGACTTAAAACATTCTTCTACATCCACCAAAAATCTTCACTTTTTAAATCCTCTAAAAATTATATCGTGGTCAAATACATTTGAATTTTCATAAGCTTTATGCTGTTAAAAGTTTAAAATCAGATAATAAAAAATAAGTAAGCAGAGGATAGAAGTCAATGAAACCTGCAATGTTAAATCCCGAGTCGGCAGCACGTTTCCCGCAATGGTTTACATGGCTACCTCAAAACAGATTGACAATTAAGCTTCATTACGAATGGAAAGATTAATAGATGACAATTAAGAAGGATCAAGAGAAACAAAAAAGCCAATGAACTGATGAAAGAGCAAAAAAGAGAAACAAAAAACCTCAATTAAGCAATTAAATGGAGTATTACTTGATAGAGCTGGAAAAGTACCCAGGTCCTCAGAGAGAGGATCAAGAGTGACTGATGAGAGTGCAGAGAAACGAATGATTGAGAAATTCAAGCTCTGAGCTCAAAGTTGGGGCTTCCACTTTCCAACTGGGGAAGAAATAACAGACGAAACACAGAGAGCCAATCCACCTAAAATATTAATCAAATGGGTTTTCTTCTAATTCAAAATTTGGACCACCCAAATTCCGATGAAGCAATAACCATTCAAAATTCCAACAGATTGAAGCCCTCACAGACTATAAATCATCAATACCCAGCAGTAAAAATTTTGAAAACAGTAATAATGAAGGAAAAAGAAATTAAAGATGCGAGCCATTCTCTAAATCTCAGACACCAATCCAAATTACCAGTAATTTGCACACCAATCTCAGACACCGGAATGTTGGCTGCAGCTAAATAAACAACACATTAGGACCAAGTAACTTTCTGTTTTGAGCCATACACACACACACACACAAAATATGATACAAAACTGTAAAAAAAGCAGCAAAAGGCATTCTCAAAATACACAAAAATATAAGATCATGAATCCCTATGTATTCGAGTTTCAGATCACAAAAAAATTTACATTCTTCAATAAAAAAACCCAAAGAAAAAAGCTGAATTATATACCTCAAGCACAAACAGCTTAGAAGCCTACACACAATACAAACAACAACAACAACAACAACAACAAAGCCTTTTCTCACCAAGTGGGGTTGGCTATATGAATCCTAGAATGCTATTGCGCTCCCCAGAAAATGAAAACCACCGTTTCTTGAAAATACAAAGAGAACCAAATCATACACCCACACTCAGAATTCCAACATAAAAACAAAACCCCAAATTATTTTTTTTACGCAACGACTCATTTATTTATAAATTCAAGAAGCAGCAAAATCCAAACAACTCTTTCGTTTATGAACAACCTAACTTCTGTAGAACAAATGTGAATACCTGCATAAACATTCGACGCGTAACCCATTGCTCAATCCTTCGAGTAAAAGTTAAACAAATGCCAATATAGTAGTTTGAGGGAGGCGCATTGCTACAGACGAAGTTGAAGGAAAATAGCAGCTCTGCAGATAGCAGGTTGGGATCCACAACTATTCAAAAATTGAAGATCCCAGTAGCGGGCAGTGAAGAAATCCCCGGGAGAGTGCAGAAACACAAAATCAAAGCTCTAGCCAGCTGGGACCGAGAACCATTCAAAATTGAAGATCCCGAAGCAGGGCAGTAGGGAAGCACAAAAATCCCAGGGGCCAAGGGAGTGCAGAAGAACAAAACCAATGAAGCAGAAGAAGCAGACGACACCTCAACACAAAAAGCAAAGAAAAAAGTAGAGAGTTTTAGTGGCAAGGGTAGAAATTCATTTAATATTGGCATGAACATGATAATCCAGGCAAAACAACTGAGGAAGTCTTTTTACCTAGCCGCAGCATGAGCAATGTCAAATCCACCCATATGTCAAAACCCTATACTTAATTTTCATATAAAAAAATCCAAATAGAAATCAAGACAAATCATAGTTGTCGGATTCGGTGAAATGGTGTCCGAATCCCGTATCGGTACGTACGTACCAGTACCTTTTGGATTCGGTGGTCAGTTCGGTGGTTCATCCAATAATCTCTAATAATTTTTAATCAGAAAACAGAAAAGAAAAAACACCTGTAATTTTTGGGAAGAGAGGATGGAAACAACTGGAATTTTGGGAAGCTCTGTGCTTCTGGTTTTCATCAGGTAGAGGGCAGACGAAGAGGGAGAGGAAGAGAGATAAAATGTTTAGTTTAATTGTAATTTTCAACTTTTTTGTTGTGTTAGTGGGGGATCCATCTGGAGTGTTGATTTTTTTGAGGAGAAGTAAGGAGGGACAATGATTGTTTGTCCTCCCATTTTTTGTGCCCTCCTATTTTGTATGGTCATGGTTAAAGCACGTTAATATTTTATATTATTTTTTTATAAAGATAATAAGACAAAAATTAATAGTAATATAAAATGTTAACGTGGTTTAACCGTGACCACGCAAACAAGAGGGCACGAAAAATGGGAGGGCAGACAATCCTTATCCAGTAAAGAGTGGGAGGCTGATAGCATTTCCCCAAGTTCGGTATTAATTTAATATTTATATTAGCATATAGACACACACAAAGTGTGTGAGAAAATTTTGTATTTTTGTTTTTGAAATAGAATGAGAAAAGAAGGGAGTGATGGAAACGTGGGAGTGGGAAGTTTTGTTTTGTTTTTTTTTTTTTTAATTAAAGATATGTTATGATTACATGTTTACTCCTTATGTGATTTTCGAAACCCAACATGCGAAGGGTTAATTAAAGGGTTTAGGGTTTTGGGTTTAGAGTACTTGCTATTTTTTCTGTTAGTATCATGATTTTCATTCAGTGAACACATCTCAAGGCGACAAAGTGGAGGGATTGTTTTTGCCAAGTCATCGTTTTGGGTTTGGGGAGTGGGGAGGGTTAAACCCTCGAGGGAGAGCGTCTTTACAAATTTAATTTGCTTTTATATCCGATTGTATTGAAGTAATTGTAGGTTGCATGACATTACTGTTCAATTATAGCTTTGGTCGAGGGCCCTTGCAATTTACTCAACATTTCACCTAGGCCTTGAGCTTTTGTATTCTTCACAGAACCAAATTAGTTGTGTTGGATTCAAAATATTCCTAAATTTTTTTTGTTTTATTTTTTGGTGTGTCTTTGATCATTTAGCTGAAATTTCATTAGATTTCGTCGTTAAATTTGAAAGTCTTAGGGTTGCTAACGGATTTACTTTTTGTAAATTTCAAAAATTTGGATTGTTGAAGGAAGCAGTTGATTCCTTGACGTTTTGAGGTATATAATTATGCGCCATCATTTTTTTTCAAAGCCTAATTAGTTATCTACCTTTTTTACTTATATTCGTGAAGCTTTCATGCTTGGATTTTAAATATATGATTCATTTTTGTTCGTTTTAGCTTACATTGGAACTGAGTTTCTTGTTATTTTATGTGCGTATCTGTTATCTGTCCATTTATGTCAAGGTCGAGTAACTAAGCATGTATTTGGTGGTTTGAGCTTAGAATGGAATTGGGCTTCTTTCTATTTTGTGCACGTATCTGTATCTGTCTATTTATGTAAAGCTTGAGAAAACTGAGTAGTCAATGTATTTGTTCCAAACGCCATTCAAATTGGATAATTGGTTTATTTGTTCTAAACCCCATTAGAATTGTGTTTGCTTGGATAGTTAGATTAGGAATTTTGGTTTGACATTTTGTGATTGGGATCTAATTACAGGTTTTGTGTTGCATGTCTCCATGTTTCAGTTTTTGTCCTATTTGTGTGGTTAGTTTGGGATCTAATTGTCCAGTAGTTGGACCTTTTTTTTTTTTTTTTTTTTTCCTTTTAATTTTGTCTGTGTGATTCTATGAGGGTTGAAGGTCCCTTGCCATCTTTGTTATTCTGGTTTAGGCTAATGTTCTTGTTTTTTTATCGAATGTTGTTAGGCATTTTATCTCTGTGATTCTGTTATTGGTTGGTTGGTGTTTTAATTGGGTTTTTTTGATAGTTGCACCCCCCCCCCCCCAACAAAACTTCAAAGAGAGCATTGTTCATTGATCAACCAGGAAAACCCGATAGGTTAAGTTTTCCTCTCAATTATCGTCTTATGTGTAAATTTTAATAAATATGGTTGCTTATCTTGGGTGTACATGTGTTATGCCGCTGATCAAAAACTGTTAGCCAATCTTTTTGCACCACTCTTTGACACTTTTTTGCATACCTATTACGATTCTCTCTAACCTTATAAATTGTACCTTCATTCACAGCAAAAAAACTCGCACCGGGTAAACAGAGACAACCAATTCTCCTAGAATTGCCAGAGAATTCCACAAATTGGTTGTCCCTAAGATTGAGCCCGCCAACAAAGAGTCGATAGCTGCACTCAAAACAAAGTCCCAAGCCAAAAAAACCAAAGATAGGTAAATTATAATTTGTTTTACGCATACACGCCTGCATAACATCTGTTATACCAATGTTTGCTAAACTATGATTCATGTTTTTTACTATAGTGATGAAGATGTTCGCCCGCCGAAAAAATGAAGGACTGCCTTCTCCGTTATGAATTGCTACAAAACTGCTCTCTATTTTTTTGCCTGTAAAACATATGTTGCTGAAACATTTTTTTTGAGTTTTTTTGTAACTGCTTAAACAGGTGCTTGGGTTGCAGGGCATGTATTTTGCCACCCTAACTGTAAGGGCAAAATATGTGTGGACTGCATCGTCCTTTTGTAACTAATGGAAATAGGGATCCTGCATCTTTATTGCTTTGAACATTTGGGATTTTTTTTTTTTTTTTTTTTTTGGTTTTTGTAACTACTTAACAGGTGCCTAGGCTACAAGGCATGTATTTTGCCATCGTAACTGCAGGGGTAAAATATGTGTGGACTGCATCTTCCTTTTGTAACTTATGGAAACATGCGTACTACATCTTTGTTGCTTTAAACATTTATGCTTGAAAGATTAACTGCTGAAACAAAAACAACCTACTTTTTCACTTTTCACTCATCTATTCTTTTCATTCGTTCATGATTCTGTTTAATTTTTTTTCAAGTTACATGTGTCTAATTTATGTGGTTAAGATTCGTGCATTCAAGTCCCACAGCAACGCGTGGGCATTTTTCTAGTTTTAAACTATAGTAATAATTCCTGGTGTTAGTGAATCATATGATGGTGGCCAGATGGAGACTAAAATGTCTCTGTGAGCCTTCCCGGCCCTTGGAAGAGAGGACTGTCGTGGCAAAGCCACCAACTAGTCCATTTTTTAAATAAAATAAAATAAAATTTTAGAATCAAACTTCTTCATTCATTTTCCAAGTAGTCCTAAACTACTGAAAAATTGGCAAATGTATCATTTTTGGGTGGGATGTAGCTTTTACCCCCTTTAGATCTACTTCACCCCTTAGAGTAAAACTCAAATTTTAAATTCTAAACCTACCCCAACTTGCTCCAACCCTTAGGGTAAATATGAGTTTTAACCCAAAACTCATTTCTGGGGCAAATTTAGGCCAGGATTCCCCCTGGGTTAGTAGGGTTGGCCCACCATATATATGTATTTTTTTTAGTTTTTCCAATAATTAAGATTTAATATGATCAAATCCAACAGTAAAAAAAATAGATTTAACGTTCCAAATTTAGATCCAACGGCTAAAGTAATTAAAAATAATTATTTTTTCATATTCTTTCATAGTGTCTGACGAGTTTCATGGTGTTAGTTTAGTGATTTTTCAATATTTATTGGAATCTAAATATTTTTAAGTTAAAATGTTCATAAAATTAAATTAGAATAGTCTACAAAATTTTAATTTTTTTAAAGTTACTTTAAGAATCCTAAATTCATTTTTTAATAATCTCAGACTAAAAATTTAACCCAGAGGAGTTGGAGCACAAAACATGTTTCTGGGTTAAACCCTAAATTTTTTGGGTTAAAAATTTAAACACGTCGGTTCTTGCACTAATGCTAGCCAGAAACAGCGCATTAGCTACGTAGTCCTTGGACAATATCTTATTTCATAGAAATATTTCATATTCCTGACAATACCTATGTATTAAAATTAGTAGGGTTTATTTGTCCTATTGTATGTATCGTAATAGATAAAAGGGAATTTTGTCCTTTCACAACCTATATTTTTAGGCTAATATGTAAAGAGGCTGTTGATTTATTTGATGCATAGATGGTTATTTGATACATTTAAAAAATAAAATAATTTATGATTCAAATGATTTTTTGTTGGAATAATATTTAAAGAAAAATTAAGAAATTGAACGGTTCTAATTATAAATTTTCTACGGTAAAAATACATATTTGCAAGTAGTCATGAATAGCTCATCCCCAAAGAGGGGAATGCAAGAGTATTATTCTTTATTTATTTCATTGAAATTATTACAAATTCATGACAATACTAAGTGTCAAAATTCATAAAGTTTATTTCTCCTATAGTATGATATAAGGGGATATTACATAATATCCTTTCTAGTTCTATTTTTAGGCTGATGGACAGAATGTAATAACGTAGTTTGGTCCACCGCTGCATGTAAAGGTGCTGTTGACATCATCATAAGCGTAGCTATAAGCTTGAGGGCACTGGTTCTCAAAGATCTGAGAGTAGTTTGTGGGTGGACATTTAGCTGGTGTTTCATTAGGAGGAGTGCAGCAGTATTGTGGTTGATTAAATTGTGTACACGCACTCTTGCATGCAATTACGCTCCCATCGGACCCCTTCACTTGCAGCTCAGCTGGGCAAGCAGCATTGACGTTGGCGGGGCAGGAAGAGGTCTGGCAGTCGCCCGTGCCGCCTTGTGGGGCAACAGACACGGGCAAGTTGAAGCCATCAACAAGACTTACGTCGTAGAAATCTTGGCCTCCGTTTGGGACAATATTTATTTCGACTAGGCTTGCTGGTGGAACTGCTCCGTTACCGTTGCATGCTACTTGGCCAGAGTTACATTCTGCTGTGGCACAACTGAACTTTCCTGAGGCGTCAGTGGAGCATCCGGTTCGGCCCCAGAAGCGGCCTTTCCATGGGACTGGAGTGGTCAAGGAACTGCTAGCGCCGGATGCTAACTCGAACCCTGTGGAGGATAGTTGTGGTTGTTGATCGGAGGTTAGGGACCCTGGCCATACGGTATAGGTGCAACGGTTGGTGAAGGTGATCGTAGCTGCATGTGCACCTACATGCCAATTATAAACGAATAATCAAATAACCATTATGTTAACAAAAAATATCTCTATATCTCTATATATGTGTCAATGATACTGTTACAAACTATCGATCAATTTGAACACAA